ACAAATGGCACAGAAAACATAACTCCTTGGCAGAGGTAAGGACTACATTCCAATTAGGTGAGCTGGATCCAGGATCCTGACATTGTGCATCGTGGCCACTGGGCAGAGATTCTTAACTTTGGAAATGAGCCTCCATTACAGGAATATGTTTTGTTGTGAGAAAAGTGTGAAGAAGTAAAAAAGTACAAACATTTTGAGTAAGAAAGATGTTTTGTTTGAAATACTGTGTTATATTTTAGTGTCTCTGCAGTCTCTTGTGCCCTGACCTTTGCACAGCCTCCAGAGACCTATGGTTGTACACTGGCCTGCCCACAGAAATGACTGGGCCCCTGAAAAGCTCCAGTAAATGGGCCCTCTGCAAATCTGCTTTACTCATGTCAAGGCATGCTGTGCTCTCTCTCTGTCTCCTACATAAACACATATACATGCTTGTATTTAGGGTGAACATCATTAGTGCTGGACTGCACTAATGACTGCAGAATGCCCCCCCCCCCCCTCCATTACGGTCGGCCCTGGTTGTACACGATCAGATTGCAGATTAGATGTTGTTTTCCAGTAAAGAGGAAGCAAAAGTCCGCTGCCAACTCAACCCTTTAGATGAATAAAAAGGTGTCCCTGAGGAAACATGTGCGTATATCTCGCTCACATGAGGGGAGGCGTCAAAAGAGTTGTGAAGACAAGAGGACGGTCAAGAGTTTTCAGCTTTTAAATTTATATTATTTTTGAGTTCATTACATTCTTTAATAATCTTTTTGAGTTAACATTCTCTATATGTATCCCCTGATGATGTCAAGATAACTGTTTTGATCAGTGAAGAAGGCACGATAAGCTAATGCGACACCAAAAGTTGTGAAGAGACAAGTGTGACAGAGTCATAGCAAGCATTTGAGTAAGCAGTAGAGTAACAGTTAATGGGTTTATATTTGGTAATTCTGTCATTCTCATATTTTAATGGTTTGTGTTACGGTTAAAGTACATAGTTGCAACAGTTACAGTACTTTGCTTCTTTTTTATGTGCAAAATGTCATTCTAACACCAGCAGCAGTAAGTGTGAGCAAGAATATTGTAGTTAGGGCTCCAGCCAATATTATGTAGCTGCAGTACCGGAGGCTGCAGTTTCAGGACCGCCGCAATCCTGGGATCGAATTTCTAGTTCTTTTGTGACAGCGCCTTCTAGTGGACTGGTGGTGGTAATGCACAGCAACACGAAGGAGGTTAATGTGCGCAGCTGTAGGGTTAACCGGTCGACATGCATAATCAATGGCTTAAGTTTAGGCACACACTCGGTGATGGCTGTGGTTAATTAGCTTCGGGGGGCTGTCCAGAGAAACATAGCGTTTGGAGGTTGGATTGTTTGTTTTGCATCTGCATTTCCTCAGAGCTGGGACTGGATTTATGTTTATCATCATGAAGCTCTGCAGTAGCTCTGAGTAACTGGAGATACAAAACGAGTACACAGGTCTTTATTTTCCAGATTATTCCCATACAAATGGATCTTCTGCTTTCATACGGCATGAAAACTTTTAATAAAACATACGATCAACTCTGGAAAGGTAGTTGTGATATGACGATATGATGTGAAATGAGGGCAGCCCTACTACTATGCTATTTTATTTTATAAACACCAGCATGTCCCTTAATCATGAAGATAATTTACAGCATTTTACAGCACTTTACTTCTGGCTTTTGTCTGCCTCAAATCTGCGTGTTCTCTTTTTCCTCTTCTCCTGTGAATTTTTTCTCCACACTGTTCGGCCACGCACACTCACGCACTGACTGAATGCTGTGTTGATGTGTGTGTGCATGCAACCATGTTAGAAACAGATGGGAGGCCGACGGTCTGCAGGTCTATAGCCCCTTTCGACTCGCCTTTGTTTGGTTTTCCATTATGGAAAAGTTGTACCTGTTCCTGCTACCAGGTACCTTTTTTCGTATCACCTCCGTCGAGGTTCCAAGCAGCTGAGGCGATACTAAAATGTGAGGTGAAAACACAGCAGTCGCTCAACCTTCTGCCAACTTTTTCATTATTAGTAAAAAAGTATAGGCTAAGGAAGGCGGCCCACCGGCCCAGAGGTTGGCCGGCCTACTGGCATTTGTCACGTGTGGATATACAACACAACCCTACAGTGATATACTGTGATACTTATTACTTATGATTGCTCATATGATACTCAATATTGTGTGACATGCTTATCTTGGGTAACTCAGCAGTTAAGACAGTTAGAGGCTTGTGCTGAATAACAGGAAACCGGGCCCTGACAATAATACACTCTGACACACTTCACACTTTTCTGAATACAGTCACACACACACTCACATGACAGCCCTTAAGGCACACTAGAAATATTCTACACCTATTGACAACTTCCATATAAGGTAACATGGGATGTGCAGCTGGGTGATGTCTCATCAACACATACACAGCTTAGCGGAAGAGCAGTCAGACCCTTACTTAGGTAGCGCGCAGGAAGGGTCTCCAGATATATCTGTATTAATAAAGGTGTGATTTAAATCTGATCTCTCGTCTCCTCTAAGTCCTTTTACATGAAACAGCTCGGGGAAGTCGTTGTACTTCAACACAAGGTACTCCAGATGGCCAGACCGCTACTGCTGGTAATGGAAAAGCGGCTTATGGGACTGTGGCTGCCCTGTGACAGATTATTCTTTTATATTCTCTTTGACTAAAGTCTGGATGTCATATTTGGCGAACACACCCAGCGAGAGAGGTGAGAGAGTGAGACAGTTGTGTGGACTCTCCTGCTATTAAAAAAACTTGCTTTGTCATCGCTGCCGCTGGTTAAGTTGATAATTACCGTCAGACCAACACAGCACTCAGGCCACCACGGCCGTCTGCTACTTTAATCTCCACAACGTCTTCTTGTTTACAGTGTGGTCGGTCAGTAGCGCACAAGACAATAGGCTTCACTAATGGACCAATGAGCAAACACTATGTGCAGGTAGTACTCATGGGAGTTGTAGTGTCGTAGTGTCACATTGAGACTACTATTCACCACCCTACGAAGTGGCTAGTGGGAGTCACTGTGTTACCCGCCACGACGGAAATCCACCCTCACTTGGCAGGTTGGCGGGTGTTAATGTCAAGCCCCAAAAGGTTTATAAGGTCTGGATATACAGAGTGGCCCTCAGAACATAGTACTAAGAGTGAGTAAGTGAGATATTAGTATAGCAGATCAAAATGTATTTCCTGTATTCAGCACCTTTAACACCAGTGATTACAAATTATTTATAGTAAATTTCCCACCAATACACATAATTTACACAGAAGTTAAGACAAGGAACGTGATAATAGGGAGACCAAATTACAGATCAGTGAAGTAACTTGGAGTCGTTCCAAACCGTTTTTGTCAGAAACTCCAGGTCAGATGAACTTATACACTCACTCCTCGTCATCAACATTAGATTATCCAGTACCTTTAGTCAAATACTTCAGCTGTTTATCCATGCTGTTTGTCAACTACTTGTTGCTAATTATTTCAACTTTTTTCAAGTGGCAGTTAAATGTATTGCTGTGTTTATGAGGTAAACTGTATCAGATAATATTTTAAGCATTTGACTGGTGATGGCTTTCAAAAGTCGACACAATTCAGATTGTTCATAATCAACATTTTGTGAACTTGAGTTTATAAAGTTTACATTGTTAAACATATAGAGATGCTGCTGGTGTAAAAAACAGACGCAGCTCTCTGTTGGAAAGAAAAAGAAGTAAATGTCTGGTGTTGCAGAGATCACATCACGTTCCATAACACCACACATCAAATGTGCCAAATGCTTCACAGTATAAATGGAGATGTACAGTACCTTGTACTGAGAGGAGAAGCACAACAAATCCACTCGCTGCTGTTAAACTCATAGCTGCTCCTTACGTCTGTTAAGTCACATCAGCAGGTAGATCAGATACATGAGAAATCCTGTATGTCAGTAAGTCACTGTAAACATTCCTAATGAAAAGGGGAGGATGTGGTCTTTGACCAGTTTGTCTCTCTGGGTTTGTTTAACAGACACTGACGTGTTAAAAGCTGCCCTCTTTACATTATGCAAAGATGAATGTCTGTTAAACTCAAGTGTCCAAGTTAAAATGAATCTTTATTATTCTTACTTGTTTTGCATGATGCAGAAACAGTGATGTTTTATGAGTGAGTCCCAGTTGTGTTTGTCTCTTGCAGGAGGAGGACAAACATTCACGCATCATCACAGGACTAAAGCATTACACATTCCTGCTGATGGTTACACACATTTCCACTGATCGACAGTTGTTGGCAGTAACTTGCAAAGAAACAGAGCGATGTGCAAACATGCAGGACTGAAAATATTCAAAGGATTCTGCCGTGGATGACTTTGCTCAGGACCAAATTTTGATTCAACATCTTCTTCATGACTCTTGTACGTGCAAGAAATGTCCACTAGTGAGCCTTTGGAGACACATATGCCTCTGTTAGCGTGCAGTGTTTGACTATATACACCTGACAGAAAAACGGCACAGGTACAACCACATTTTTCACTGCAGTAACACAGAGCAGGCAGTGCTACTGTAGAGCTCAATGAGAAATGCATGTTGCTGATATAGAAAGGGGAAGTGAGGTCACTCACACATATACTGTGTATATAGGCCTACCATATCTATATAGTGTAAGATGAACAAAACAGGAGGACTGTACTAGCTGACTCTTATGTTGACCATTCACTCCGGTCAGAATGCAGCTGACGGGACCTCAGTGTTCATTCTCTGCACTTTATTAATCACATTGGAGGCAGAGCAGAACACAGGGCACTTAAACAGACTTTAGGTTTAGATTTGTGAACTTGTGAAATACAACAGAAATAAATAATAAAGTTTAGTGCATATACATAGCAGAACATTCACCATTATGTACACGGGTTCCCTCAGGTTAACGTATTCGTAACAGAGGAACAATGACATTCACATCACCTGCTCTCCTGTTCAAACATACTGTAGGTAAAGATCACCTTCTAGTCTATATTACTGTAACACCCTCTTGATCGTGACCCGGGCTGGTGGCTGTGTGTGTGTGTGTGTGTGTGTGTGTGTGAGTGGCTTTTGATTTGCCTTTTGGGTGTTTGCTGTGTGCTTGGTGGGTTTTGTTTTTGTCTGTCTTCTCTTCCATGTCTCCTGGAGCTGGTGGGCGTGGTCTCCAGTTCACTACGGCTGTCGCACACTTGTTCTCTGTCTCAATCAAGCACCTGTTCTGCATTCACTCATCACCGCTCACTACTTAACCCTGGCCAGATCTCCAGTCCTTCTCAGATCGTTGTGTAACCTGAGTACGCTTCACACCAGCCTCTGATCACAGTTTAAACCAAAGTCTAGTTAGTTCTCTGTTTCCTGTTTGCCTGCTAATCTGCTCTGTCTTTCGTCTTCAGGAAATTCGCCCTGTTCCCCCTGGGTTACCTGTCCTCCCCACCAGCCTGCACAGTCGTCAGGAGTAATCCCCACCTCCCCCCGCCTGCCAGCTCCCACAACTTCTCCCTCCTCAACGGAACCCGGACCTTTCCCCGATCCCCCTCAGCTCACCTATTCCCTCTCTGTTCGTTGTAACCTAAAACCATAAACCTCTTAAATTCACCATCGGCTCCGGTCTGCTTTTGGGTACTGCTTCAAACCCTGACAATTATCCTTCCAAATACCGTTAATGTCTGTGAAATAGCGACTCTAAACACTGAGCTAGCTAGTAAAGGTGAATACTCCCACTGTACACTGCAGTGGTGAAATCACTAAGCTCATCATAGGGCTGCTGCTTTTTATTTTATTATTATTATTATTATTAGGTTTTTTTTACATGCTGTATGTGCAGTCATGGTACAGCACATTAACTAAAAGATAACTATGGATGGAGTTATGTAGGCCTACAACGCACAAAGATACACTCAAGGTATAAAGTAGATTTGGTAAACAGAAATAAACTATATTCAGTGGAGCAGTGCTGAGGATGAATTTGAGTTTAATCTGTCTGATAGTTTGGGGGGTGGTGGTGCTGGTGGTGCAGCAGCAGCTGAAACTTCTATATCTCACCTGGGGCTCCGTCATACGGTGACTGGATCATAGGGTCACTCCAACAACCTCATGGCAAGCCATCCCACCTCTCCCACCATTTGTAGCGAAAGTCATCCTACCCGGGTCTACAGGGTACTAAACATGCAACTTGCCCACAATGTCAAAGACCCTGGCTTCTTATTCTTAGGCCGGCTGGGATTTTGTTCTTTATGTGCTGAAGAACCAGTTTCTCAAAGCACTTCATCAGAATGGGGGTGAGTGCCACAGGAAAAAATGAAACCACAGGAAACCATGTCACAAAGCTTAAATCATCACAAACTGGTTTCTGAACATGACAATGAGTTCACTGTAAATCAGCAACTGCCTGATGCTATCATGTCAATATGGACCAAAGTCTCTGTTTCCAACACCTTGTCGAAAATATGGCACAAGGAATTAAGGCAGTTTTGAAGACAAAAGGGGATCCACCCCGGTACTAGCAAGGTGTACCCAATAAAGTGAGTGAGTGTATATTGTAAAAGGATTAGGCTAGTGGGGGCTATAGCCTCGTCACAAATCTGCATAGGCCCAATTAAACACCCTCAAGCAGTTTTTTGATCAAGAAGTGAAGACACGGACAAGTCAGGCCAAGACCCTGTCTCTGAGGAGGGCAAAGAAGGAGAAAAGAAAGCAGTTAGAGAGAGAAACATTTGAGGGAAACTCCTGAGCCAAGACATGAGGATGAGCATGTGGTTGATATAGATGTACCCAAATCTACACTGGTTGCTGACACTACACTTATGTCAGCAACCGGTGAAGAAGCAAAGATGTTAACTAGTAAAAGGCGACATATTCTCTTCTTCCATTTCTCCTCTGTTGAACAAAAGTTACTGTAATGTTAGCTTTTAGACACATCAAAGCTGCATGGGGGCAATTTACTGAGGCCAGACTTTTGCTCATGTAAATGTGTGATAAAGTTATACCATATCTAATTCCTCCCCCTATTAGATAAGTTGCACGTCCAAAGTATGTTATTTAATTACACTAATTACTGTGATTTTGCTCTGTAGCTTGGCTTACATACAATCAAACAATAACTTTATTGTTTGAACAATAACTTCAAACAATAAAACATAAAATCAATAAACAATAAAAAATAAATCAAACAATAACTTTATTCATGTAAGCTGTTGATAAGGATCCTTTTTAATGTGGCTACTGTCTGAATTTCATAATCTGATGGCGGAAGGAATAAAAGATTTGGAGTAATGATTACTGTATGTATGTATGACTGCTTTCATTTATTATATTTTTTCATTTATTATTTCATTTATATTTGTTATATGTGTGTGTACGGTAGGCCCTACCTGTGGGCATACGCTCATGTATAGCCTAGCCTACATGTAGGCGACATCTATATATAAATTTAAATTTACTCTAGCCAATAAATGCAGAAAGTTAAGTTGGTCAGAATAAAGAAAATATAATAAATATCATGAAATGAATTTGTTTAAGCTATGCTTTGGTGCCGCTACTGGCAGACGACTACTGACCTGCAGACGACTACTGACCTGTAGACCAGTGGCCTACTGACCCCATAACCCCAGCTCCCTCAGAATCAGCAGCCCTGCCAATCTCCTGCTTCTCTCTCTCCTTAAATATCTTTGAATATCCATCTGGTCAATGAACGAAAGAATATGCAGGTGCAACAGCATTAACAGGGACACTGTGACATTTAGTTTTCACTGACAAAACTCTATGGGGACTGATATTGTTTTGAAATATAAGACTTTAGTTAGACTAGCTAGACTGTTTTCCATTGCCAACTAAAATCCTCCCTTTCCTTTACCTCAAGTAAACTTAGCTAAAGTTAAGCGAGTAACAGTCATTTAACAACAGCTTACAGTTTCACTCTGTGTGACCTTTGAAGGGTATTTATTGTTTTCCTTTTGTTTACATTTTGAAATCCAGATAGCTCTGATATTGACTGAGGGACAATTTTAAGTGGTCTGCAGTCACTCTGAAGTGATACTGAGTCAGTGGAAACAGGAGGTTTTCTTTATTCATCAATCTGAATTTAGAAAAAGTCAGTGAAAATCAGACATTTTTTAGATATTTATAATACCGTTTATTTAATTATTCCATTCCACCTTTCATTTCTGCCACACATATTGAATATTACATCATGTTCACCAGAAGCTCACTATTTAGAAATCTGCTGAGACCTGTTGTGACCGTAATGCCTAGAAAACACATCACAAAACAAAGCGGGGCTGGCTTGACCGCAGTCATTGTTGAGACAGATTATACTGTATGTGCAATGTAGACATAGGCTACTAATAATAATGCCATCCACATTAAATAACATCAGTAATTCCCAGTGTCTCATACAGAGAAGGAAATAAAAGCAGATTAAATCTAATAGCGCAATTATTGTCCTTTCAGTAAAGGTTATAGGCCTTGTTCAGCGATGATAAGCTTCCTTAACCTTTCTCATATTTAGGCTACCGCTTCTTTTCTCATAATTGCAAGATATGGTGTGGGGTAGGGGCAGGGAATGACACCTTCAGGCTATCAGCCACTTTGAGGGACAGGGAAAGAAAAGAAAGACACATTAGTTCAGGGATCGGCGCACGTGCCTGCGTCACACGCTATACACGCACACAGCTTCAGTACAGTCAGCTCAGGAAATACCTGTGGTGGCGTTTCCAACCAAACTCACGAGTCCGGAAGAAGCACAGTCCTGAGTGGCAGCCAGTGCGTCCTGAGTGACAACCAGTGAGTCCTGAGTGCCAGCCAGTGCGTCCTGAGTGCCAGCCAGTGCGTCCTGAGTGACAACCAGTGAGTCCTGAGTGCCAGCCAGTGCGTCCTGAGTGACAACCAGTGCGTCCTGAGTGCCAATCAGTGCGCTGCTTACCAGCAGCAGCGGCCGATCTACGGAAAGTAACTCTGGTGTTGTCGGACAATCACTCAGCTTGTCTATTAGACACTAGAGGCAGCACTTGCTTTTATTTTCGTTTGGCAAACTTTTGAATTGAAACTCAGTATTTTTTGTTTCCTTGCTGGGAAGTGGAGGGTTTCTTTGAGCTGTGGACTCTTGAGGAGATTGGAAGTGGGATAAGGACTCATTCACTGGTGGTTGAACGTTGGGCTTTGAATTGAGCTGGATAATAGCCTACTCTTTGGTGAACGTTATATGATATTATTTAATGCCATGACTTCACCCAAATTATCTTTCTGTTGAATTATTATAAAGTGACTTCTCCTCCACTGCTCATCAAGCAACCTATTTTACTCTGTGCCTGTCTAATGTGCTTCTTTGTTATCGTGGCTGACATAAAGAGTAATGATATATTTTGATTGTGCATCTTCAATTGAATCACCTGGTTGTTTAGTAAGGTGGAGATATAAAAGACTTGAGTCCTTTGTGCATGCATACATAAAAAGATTAAACATTAAATTACATTATTAACATTAAATGATTCCTCAATTAGCTGAAGGCTATTTCTTTATTTAGCACATACATTTAATAAGTGGCAGATAGAATTTCTGAGTGGCAGACAAAAAACTACTTATTTTCAGACCCTGTGGTTGTAGGGTATAGCTTCAGCCCCCCTAAAATAGGCCTATGTCCATATAGTATGGATAATACATAGCCTACACACACACACATCTATATATATTGTGTTTGGACTAATTATATTTGCATTTGTTCCTATTTTGCATTGCAACTGCTGCACAACAATTTCCCTCCAGATAAATAATCTTATCTATCTTATAGCCATGCTATTCTTGAAAACTACACAGTAAATCTCAGAAAATAATGGATGTCACTTCACTGTGTTTTCCATGTCTAATAATGTTGCTGATCACAGAAAAAGTGTAAAAGTACATCTTAAAGTGAGAGACAGAGAGATGTGTTGCTTTGGCTGCTGCCAGCAAGACTTTCCTATGAAAGCAACACATTTCATTATACTGTGAAGACACAGGATGGAGATTAATCTCTTCAATCTCTATGAAAGACATATTATTGGTATGATGGGACAGGGTCTGTATTTATAAACCTTTGCAGACTAGAAAATTGTCCTAACTTTCCCAGAACCTCATTTTAGGCTGAGGTGCACAAGCATTTTATACAATTTCTCAACCAAGAAATGATCCTTATTTTAGGATATTTGTAAGAAATAATAATTTTTATTCATTAATGATAATTACAAACTTTTCTTTCTGAATAATAAACATAAATCCAAAACTTTCTGTACACTGTCGCCCTCTGCAGCAGTGAGAGGAAACTGAAATGATGATCAAACTGCAGAGTTGTTTATTCAGCCACTGCAACACTAGCAAACTGTGATAGAGCTGGGCTTCTGTTTGATTTCACTGTTTAAATATAGACTGTACATGCTGTGATTTACTTAGCTTCGAGTTTGATGTGTCTGTTTTGAACAGACTTTATTGGTATTCAATGCTAGGACAGGTGTGACATAAAAGGGCAGTATTTCAGAAAAAAACATTTTTCTGAGTTAAATCCTGTGCTTAATGTAATGTCCCTGCACAGGTAAAACTAAAGCTACATTCTATTTAAATATTTTGCTACATGCTGCGGCTGACGTCTACAACTGAACATGTTGATGGAGTTGAAGTTTAATGTATCCACGTCCTCCACTGGACTGCTACAATGTTGTACTTCTCTCTGTTTCCATCCAGGTGACTCCCCTCTGGTTTGACTGTATCAGAGAAAGTCACATACAGTTCTGGTTCAAGGCTGAGGAGTTCACTCAGTCCTACAATCAGGACCAGAGTCCAACTGATTGGGAGAGAAAACAAGATGAGAGTCCTCTTAAGGCCTCATAAATGGAATTTTAATAATTACATTTTATATTAAAATGTACCCAGACATGTTTAAAGCAAAACTGTTCTCTCAAATTTGTCTTTGCCTCTGAATGTATAAGCCAACAAATTAATATACTTTGGTAGAGTAAGTTCTGTCACTGTGGCCCAGCAGCTTTCTCACCTCTATAGTCTCTATGGGTTCATTTGGTTCAGCGGTGTAGCTCAGAGTTTTCCTATTCCTGAATCAAAAAACAAACATAAATAAACATTTTGATCTATAACTCAAAACTATGAAAGAAAATATTCAAAGTAAAAGATCAGTGATGGAACTGGTTAATTCTTATATTCTTATTTCACCTCATCCACAGACAGAAAAAAAGCAGAGCAATCGGCGTCACAACCACCAGAGTCAACCTGATGATATTTATTATCACTGAGGATTTCTCTAGAAATGGAGATAGACAGTTATTAGATAAACTGTGCTGGACCTCATTAGCAGAATTTGTTCATCACTTTGCCAGGAGATCGTCTTCTGTTAATCAGCCAGGTAAAAACGTACCTGCCACAACAATCAGATGTAAGGTGGAGTTATGACGTCCTCTTCTGTTCTGGGCTTCACAGTAATAATTCCCACTGTGTTCAGCTCTGAAGTCAGTGATGGTGAAGTTCTGTCCTGATGCTTTTGGTGAGTCTTCATTCTCCTTGTACCAGGTGTATTAGCTGCTGGGTTAGCATCACTGCTGCAGGTCAGAGTCACTGAACTGCCCTCCACTATCTCAGCAGAGGGACTCACTGACACAGAGGGAAGCTTTGGAGCATCTGGGGGAGAACATGTATAGAAATACTAAGGAAAACAAGATTTGGTAGTTGTGAGTAGGCTTATTGCCAGTGTTGTGTCTCAGTAAAAAAAACTACTATCAGGAAATATCCCCCCAAAGCCCTATTTGTGTCCTCAGCACGCTTCATGTTACTCCATGATTTGGTTTGTGGTCTACAGTAACAGGGTTCTTTCATACTTAACCTGTTTGGTCCAGTTAAACAAACTCTGATGCGTTTGCCCAGTTAGTACCAGTCTGTCCTCACCAGAAAAGCAACCATAATATGTTGTTTGACTCATATTTACTTTTTTTGTGGCTGAGACCTCTAGTGGCCGTATGACGGTAGCAAAGGAAGAACAGGAGACGAGCATTCAAGTCCCATGTGACACCAAGTCAGTGTTATTATTTGAGTTCAAGTTAAATAGTGTTACTGACTTACCTCATGTGAGTTAAGTCACATGATGTATTGGACTTACATCATGTGACTTATGTCACGTCAGTTAAATCTCTTGATTTATGTGACATCAGTCATGTGACTTACATAACGTAGTTAAGGTCTGGTAAGCCTGTCGCTGGACTGGTACTTTACGACGGTTATATATGTAGTTTTAGAAGGCACTGACAAATGACCTAGTTTGTCATTTAGGTAAGAGGACGTGTTGGTTAGTTCGGTTCATTTAGGCTGATGTGAAAGCTGCCAATCGAACTCTGCTGAGATCAGGAACGCAACAGTGGATCATTTTTTCCCTGGTCTGGACCAAATGAACCAAACGACAGTTGTGGAAGGAGCCTTAGAAGATAAGTCAAAACGTTTACGTTGTTATCCAGCAGCAGCTTGCGTCTTAAAAAGCATTTTGTTGACCTCACAGATGTCTACTTTCTGTCTGGACATATTAAATGTTAGCTCGGAGCAAAGCCAATGTCCAATATTTTCTCAGACTGTGCCGCTCTGCTCTTCTCCTTTGCTGGAAGCTGCAGTCTGTGGAAATACTGCATTGAACTTTTTCACTGGGCAAACCCTCGGCAGACAGTGGACATCAGTGGAATTACAAAAATATATAACCTGTCGCTGGATAACATTTAAAAAACAATGTGTATGGAACGCTGCGTGAATGACAGAGTAACGTCAGGACACCAATGGGGCTAAACCTTCTGCTGCAGCTCAGCAAAGATTCACTGTCTGAACAAACACCAAAAGGAAATTTTGCACTATAACAACTGTAATTTTGGAAGTTACAGTTATTCATGAAACTCAGACTGCTGAAGCCTCAAATTCGCTACATGTGAACTCTGAAATGCATGTTGCTCTACGAAGGTATCTCTTCTTCACCAGGAGGAATGATTAGTGACCAAAAACTATTTTAACGTACAAATGGCATGTGACTATATTATAAGTTAGCATTAAATAATCTGAAATGATCCTTTAAACCCCTGTGATGCTACTTTAGAACATGATAACGTTAACGAGCTCATAAACTCACATTAACATTCACTATCTGTAATTAAACACATTGTATGTGGAAGCGCTTTGCTGATGTTTTGTACTTACACTGGACATCTATGGATACAGATGTGGAGTTGATCTGGCCATACTCATTCTCAACCTTGCAGTGGTAGATCCCGCTGTCCTTAGAGCTGATAGAGGTGAAATGATAAATGTCTCTGGTCCCTGAATCAGTGTTTGGTTCTCCTTGTACCAGGTGTATTTAGCTGCTGGGTTAGCATCACTGCTGCAGGTCAGAGTCACTGAACTGCCCTCCACTATCTCAGCAGAGGGACTCACTGACACAGAGGGAAGCTTTGGAGCATCTGTGGACAAAAGAGAGACAACTTGTCAATATTTGTTTACAGGCCTGTTTTTAGGCATTTTAGGACTTTTTCCCCAGGTCACGTGCAGGCACACGCTTCAGTGAACTAAAATCTTACAATGCTTAATATATCCTTGCTTATTGAACTAATGTCTTCAGTCTGTAGATGATGATAAATCACATTTATTACACCAGTTGATGGGTGCCCCATAACACACAACAACTGTTGTTGTCAGGTGACACCAAGTATTCTAGAAAAACCTGCCAGAAAGTCAGACCAGCACACAGCAGCAGACCATCATGACCGCTCAAACACAGACCCACACAATGCTGAACCAGAACCAAAGACACTGTCATAATGCAGTCTGCATTATCATCTCTGATTCCTAATTCTTATTATTTTAAGTTTAGTTCAAACTGTCTCAAGTTTCAACTTACTCTTTCTTAGCAAATGTCTCCTTTGCTCTTGCTCATATTGACTATGAATGAAATGTAATCTACACTCAGTAAAGCAGTAGTCATACATTGTTGGGGAATTGGGAATTTTTAGGTCTCAGTAATATGAAAAGTATGGTCTACATCTGCTCTACATAAAAAATGCAATGAGATGACTTTTCCTATGAATTGGGCGTTCTATAAATAAAACTGAAACTGAATCCATTTGAAATAACAAACCTGGTTTTTAACATTTACTGTACCTAGCCAGGTAAAACTCCTGAGTTCCAGAGTGAAAACATATGACTTGCTTATTGTAAAAAGACTCACAAAAGATTTGATGAAATAATGAACTGTATATTGATGTCAAAATGTATCTCTACAATAACTAATCCAAAATGATATAGGCAAGTGGTGAAAAGTAGTGTGGACTATCAGCTAGCTAACATCAGATGGCTCATTTTAGGTAAAATAAATCTTAATTACGAAACTCAGAAGTAGGAACGTTAAGTGTATTAAAGAAGCATCAACCTTCAGTGTCTCCATTAGCGTTTGAAGCCCTGGACTGGAGCAGCTGCCGTTAGGAGTGATGTGGGCAGAATTTTTTTAATTTTGGCAAGTGCGAGTTATTTCAACTTACATGGCTTTACTTAGAGGGGAGCTGTGTGCAATGTCCATTTGGTTGGCAAAGCACTAGAGACATCACATCTTTCAACACAGTGTCAGGCATGTTGAGAAACAGGTGATTGACCTCCTGTGGTTTTCTACACACAACTGGCAAGATATTAAACTCACGTTTTTCAAGCCTTACTGTGAAATGATTTGAAGAGCTGTATAGTGGCCACCTTCAGGATGAATCCTAAATCAAATCAGTCAAGCAATAATCCAAAGAATAAAATAATCATAATAAAATAAAAATATGTCCTCTAAAGAATCACATTGTGTCGAGGAGATTATTATAGGGAGTTTTCCATTATTATGTTTCTATACAATTTCAGAAAGACCGTTTGTTACACACAGACCTGAAATCTAAATTCAGTTTAAAAGAGGATGAGAAGTACTGATGATTGGATGTAACTGAGGCCTGCTCCAACTCCACCTGCTGTTTCTGAGTTCCTCCTGCTAATAAAGTGTTCACTCTCTCTTCCACGTTGACAGCACTGAGTCCAGATTGCACTACTGCTAAGATTTTCTCCTGCAAAGATATATTTAATAAGCTGTTTGTTATATTTAAATAAACTGTTCCACTCACATTTCACATTAATGATGTATTTAGTTGTCCTCTCCCCAGCTGGTTCTCAGCTGCACAGTAATACTCTCCAGAGTCAGAGGACTGGATGGAGCTGAAGACAAGCTGTGGTTCTTCACTGAGCAGAGTTTGGTTCTCCTTGTACCAGGTGTATTTAGCTGCTGGGTTAGCATCACTGCTGCAGGTCAGAGTCACTGAACTGCCCTCCACTATCTCAGCAGAGGGACTCACTGACACAGAGGGAAGCTTCAGAGCATCTGTGAAGGTATAAACATGAATTACTGAAATGCTAGACTATGTTATAGACGATTGACTATTTTCATAAATTTCTCTGTTTGTTCTTTTTGATTCTCTAGTATTTGACAAAGTGGATGTCCATAGTGCTGATTCTGGATCTGTCCCAGGTCTGAATCCTGTTTGTTGAAACTGATCTAATCATTTGGTATTTTCAAAAACACAATTTGTCAGTGGTCGTAGCAGCACTTATGTGTTTCAGATTTACCACTACTAAAGACCGTCTGTCTGTCGAGTCTGTTGGCAACAAATCTTCAGAGACTGGTAACTCCATTTTAAAGCTTTACCATGAAAAATTTTAAGTTACAGACTAACAATATGCATCCTGTCTTAATGAAAATGTTATACGTCTAATATTCCTGAATCTCAGAAATTTGACATAAGAGTTATGAGTTAAATCACAACATGCAGGCACGTGCACACATAGACATTAAAAGGGGCTTGAGCAGCTGCCAGAAAGTTTCCTGACTTAAGCAGTAACTTCATCATTTTGATCGTAGTCTCCTCATCTAATAACTATCCATTCTATTAGTTTGTTGTATGCTGATAGATCTTTACATGATACAGACAGCCCTCCCTCAAATGTGAAACTAAGTCTATGACACCATCAGTTACTGTGTGTGTGTGTGTGTGTGTGTGTGTGAATACTAAAGAAGACCACGGTCTCTGTTTGAACTGATTATTTTCTAGAAACAATTGCATGAGTGTGAGGGAATTAAAAAAACTTGGTAAGAAAGTCAGAGTTGTGTTAATATATTTAATGTTTGGTTTAAAAAATATTTAATAAATAATTATGAGAAGTTCCCTTTTTTAACTTGAGGCCCCGCCCACCAAAATGTCTGTGCATGTCCCTGACAACATGTATCTGAATACTGATTTCTACTGGTGGTATTTTTTTAATTTCCATAAATAATGCTGCTGTGTTTATATTAAGATCTAGAAGATTCCAAGAAGACTTGTGTCTGAAATTTTAATTTGTATTGTAACGCCGCTGAAACAGTCCGTTAAACTCACACACTGAAGGAGAGGGGAAATCCTCACGTCCTTTAAGAGCACAGGAGATGATGTCTCTGGGATAAAACTGATCTTTATAAGAAGATGTCTCCACGCTTTCCATTTTCTGTCCATTCTTGAACCAGACGTAGGAAGGACGATCAGGTAGACGACAGCTGCTGTGACAAAGCAGCTCTGCCTCAGTATAATTCTTGTAGACTGTTGATCTGATCACCTGAACCTGGAGATCTGTGAAGAAGAAACAGAAATATTTGTTCTTTATGTGGAACTGAATCACACACAGACAGACACAGAGATATAAACAATAGAACATTATGACAATCATGTAATCAATTAATCACACATCCAATTATTTCCCATCAGGATCACTATTCAGCACATTCACTTGTCATCAGATAGTTTAAATGTGCTGTTACAGTTTGTGTTCATCAGTACCTGTGACAGTCAGAGTTGTACCAGGTAAACTACTCCTCCATTCAAAGCTTCCTGCTGTGAATTTGAAGTGATACTCAGCTGAGTCGCTCTCTCTCAGGTCAGTGATTCTCAGAGTGGAGCGTCCTCTCTCTGTTTCAAGGACCTGAACACGACCTGCATACTGGGAGTCTTCACTAAGGTCCTCAGGCTGTGAGGGATTCTGCCACTGAAGACTACGTTCAGGACTGAACCAGAATTTAGATCTGATATCTGTAATAACTGTTGTAAGTACAAGAAATGTCCACTGATGAGCCTTTGACAGCACAGATGCTTCTGTCAGTGTAAGTCACTCTGTTGCATGAATGACCATGGCCACCTGAAAATGAAATGATGATTATTAAAACTATAGTCTTTACTGCAGTAATTCACAGCTGGTTGTATTGCTGTGGATGAGTTTGCTTCTTTTAAAAGATACATGAAGTCATGATAAAGAACATCAGCTAAAATGTTCAAAACAGCGTCACATTTGTAGTGGACCAGCCAGTGTGTTGTTTTTATAATTTTATGCCAAAAAAGGAGTTTCCAAATTCTCTTTGTCTCTCCCTGAGAGAAAGAGGCGGGGTGGTTGAGATATCAACCCTCAACAGACAGCTGAAGTACCCAAAAGGAGGGGGTGAAAGGTTTGCTCCACTCCCAAGTGCTGCTTGGGCAGTTTCAGCCATAAAACCTACCACCTCCGGTGAAGTTGAGATAACAGACTCTATGCATGACTATTAAAATGACAATATTAACCTTGTCCAGAGACTAACCTCACCCTGAAGCAGGCTATGAGGACCTCAGCAGCCATAAACTAAACGACCTCTAAACACTCCCAAGACCAAGAGGGCAGGTAACCACGGTAACGAAGTTCCTCCTTCAGATTACCTCGGACATCAAAGACCCCCTTCTTCCGTCTTGACTCTCTACCCCACCAAAGAGCCATTAATTTGTGCTCTTAACATGCCCTCTCCCTTTTCACACCCAGCTGTGAAACTGCTGAGAAAACCCAGACACCAGAGGAGGACGCTTCCTTTGTGTGGACAAATGAATATTGTCTCCTTATGAACTTGCCTATTACCTTGTTTTAATTAAATGAATCTTTAACTTACTTAGTAGTTCTCGCCACTTCAATTGAGTAATTATTACCCTGTTCTTGTTAAAAACTATGTCAGAAAGAAGGAACCACAAGTAAGTTCATTTTGTTGTGCCTTTAATCTTCAGTGCTCGCCAACATTTCTGCATTTAATCCATGTTGTAACTAATGCTTTGTTCCAGCACTGTTATACTACTCTTAGAAATTATATGATACAGAAATATTACGTGCTAAATAACCAATTTTCCTAGCTCCTGAACCAAGGATTGAGTTAAATGTAAGTAAAATAGTCAGAGGGGATCCTTTCTATTTCATATAGGCTTCGCCCTCTAAGGCTATCACTATTGGGTTTACCCCTTCTGAGAATTTTAGTCTACGCCCACCCACAGCGTGGGCCTCTCCTACGTCCGCACCTTGTATATACAACGGTGAGACCCAGCCATCGGCTCCCATATTGTTTCAGCACTGAGCTGTCTAAGAGCAGCAGATTTGTTTAAAGAGCAAAAGACTTTCCAGCTGGAAAACAAGATGAACGATGTCTTCCAGCAAGCCGGCCAGAACGGGCTACATCGTGCTGGGTGATCTCCGTCCCCGCTGCGAGGCGTGCCTCGGACCGGAGCACGCCGGCCGAGCACTCACTCTCGGTTCGCATTGACCTTTCTGCGCCCTCTCCCCCCCGAAGAGTGGCAGCGCCGGGCGGATAGCTTGCCGTTCAGGACGAGGAGGTGTTAAAGTAGGCTTACCAGCATCAAAGCTACTGGATGTGTACGATTTTGGAGCTGGTAAACAGCAGTAAGTGTGAGTCATAGTACCAGTTTGTACATTTATATCATTTGTAAAATATGTTATTCCAGGGGTTTAATGCATTAACATGCTGTAATGTGAACCTAAAAGTGTAATTTGTTAAAAGGAATATGGTCAACGTGGTTTAAGTGAAGAAGGGAAAAAGAGATAAATTCTGTTTAATAAAGACAGAGAACAGCCTGCTGAACGATCACAAGTGACATCTGTCTCTGCTGTTCTTGTACAAAACAGGACACAATCTGTTCACAGGTAACTCCTGCTTGAGACCTGTAATGTGCGCTTATAAGTCATCTTGCTCCTTATGAATCAAATTCTTCCCCACAATAGAACAACTCAATTTACCTTGAACCCCATCATTCTCATTGTTTGCATTCTGTTTGTTTAGTCATTGTTTATTTCTTTGATGTATATTTAACCGCATTTATATTCACCTTTAGTTAGCTAATACATTTCACCTAAATCACAGGAACTGTGTGTGTATGTTTGACTCCAGGTCACTGTGACGGAGGATTTAGGCCTTCGATATGAGATTGACTGATTGATTTATAGAAATGATTAAGCAATTACTACTAACTGATCACTAGGAATAATTGTGTAATTATTAAAACCATACCCAGGGAGTCCTGAGGCCCTGGGCGAACGGAATTTTAGGTGGTGCCCCGAAAACGAGAGTTTTATGAATATTTCCGAATATTAATATTCATAATTTTTATTAACTGTATCATAGGTACACTAGGGCGGCGCTGTGGTGCAGTGGTTAGCACTGTCGCCTCACAGCAAGAAGGTTGTAGGTTCAAACAGCGGTTGCCCCGGCCTTTCTGTGTGGAGTTTGCATGTTCTACCCGTGTCCGTTCTCTCTGGGTGCACCGGCTTCCTCCCACCATCCAAAGACATGCAGGCTAGGTTAATTGGTGTCTCTAAATTGTCTGTAGGTGTGAGTGGATGTTTGTCTATGTGTGGCCCTGCGATGGACTGGCGACCTGTCCAGGGTGTACCCCGCCTTTCGCCCGATGTAAGCTGGGATAGGCTCCAATTCTAATTTTAGAGTGAACGGTGAATTTACACACATGATAAAAGGCATACAAGATTCACTGTAGTGTTTCCCAAACGTTGAGCATTTGGAGCTAACTTACATGGTTTCCAACAAAAATGTTACCTCTGACAGACAAAGTGACTCCAGGTGAACCAGTAACTCTTCCACCTGGGTGGTTTGTTATGAACCTGAACTTGTACTCAGCTGAGTCGCTCTCTCTCAGGTCTGTGACTCTCAGAGTGCAGATGTTGTCAGAACAACTGTACTGCAAACGACCTGCGTATCTTGAGTCTGTTCTCAGATCCACAGGTTTTTTATCTTGCAGTTGAGTAAACCAGAATGTTTCCTCAACTTTAGTATCACGGCCATTTATTCTGGATGGGTATGTGTAGGTGCAGCTTATTTCCACTGTTGATCCTTTTAAGGCACAGATCTGAGTAGAGGTGTAAGTCACTCCCCAGCCATTCTGACCCTGTATCACTGTAACACAGAGCACATCAGAAACTACAGTCAGACTCAACAACACCAGGAGACAGACTTGAATGTGTGGAGGTGGTTGCAGAAAGGTAACCATGACCAGCTTTAAAAAGCCCAGAATCTTATTTATTGCAGTCACTGTCACAAAGAGTTCTTCATGATACACCTTTTAAAAGCTTGAGATCATTTTGAGATAAATAGATGTTTTTCACAGCAGACATTTTGGCTGCTCATATCAGGAAAAGCACAGGGGGTGATTGATATTACACCTGTACAGAAGAGGATTAGGACCACGTGAAAAATGGGAGGGCCTTTCTCAGTCTGCATTCATGTCTCGTGTTCTTGTGTTCTTGTGAAACGTCATCTTTTGTCGCTCAAGTACTGTTCCTATCCACAAGTTCACATTTCGCCAAGAACGGTTGAAATTCCCAGAAGTGTTCGATATGCCCATTTTACCAAGAATGCTTTAGTTGCTGTTGTTGCTTTATTATTATAACATTACAGTGTTAGCGTACAGTAGTAGTTACAGTACTTGCTTTTTATTTGCTTTTATTTTATTACATTAATTATTGTTTATGCACTAATATACCAAAAGAAATTCCTTGTAAGTTAAAACCTACTGGGCAATAAACCCGGTTCTGAGCTTATTGTTTTGGTTGATAAAGCCTGGCTGTTATCTTGGAGCTCTGCAGGCGGCCTCTGTGTGACGCAATAGCAGCAAGAACGGATTGTCTCAAACTGTCCGCAGCGTCCCCCCTAACAGCTGGGCCCCAGAAAGCTGATTGTACATGATCAGATTTCAGTGCTCTTTAACCTGCTCGGTTGCAGCCTGGAGCTTCCTTGTCCTGGTGGATCGGCAAAGCTAAGTCTTCCTTCTTATAACTCTCGTGGCTACTCTATCCTCCTGCCCAGCTATAGGCAGGACTTTACCTTCTGCCCCCATCTGAACTGAACTACACACATCCACACACACATACCCCATTATTCCCCTCTCAATGGAACACAATTAATCTGGACTAACCACACACACCTACACACTCACCTCTCTCACACCAGAACTCAAGGAACTGAACTGGACTGCTACCTTTTGAGTTCAATGGACTTAACTGCCTGATTTCCCCTGAAACACACACACACATCTGAACACACACATCTACACACGCCACTCAACTTCCTCCTCCTCAAGTTGGCGGACTTGTCAGTTTTCTTTATCATTTGAATTGTGGACAGTTAATTTTGGGGATATGCATGATGTATTCTGAAAAGTTATTTATTGCTTTAAGGGAATTGTAAGATTTTGTGTTTGCGTACTAAACTTATGGTGAATTATTTTTTGACTTTGAATACAATTTATTGGGAGTGATTGAATTGGTGTTTGGTGGCTTTCTTTTATGGTGTATGTTTGTAGCGAAGGTAGCTGGCTATCTAATATCCTACTAATCGACTGATTTAAGTGACAGGTTAGGCTTAAGGCTATTCTCCTGTCTGGCGCCCAACCTATTTTGGTTATTTTGATAATCCTCCGCTACACCTGTGCGTATATCTCGCTCACATGAAAGAGTTGTGAGGATAAGAGGATGGTCAAGAGTTTTCAGCTTTTAAATTTATATTATTTTTGAGTTCATAATATTCTT